CAATGTTGAAAGTCAAATAGTAAAAGTTTAAACAAAATCATAACAATAAAATAATGGTATATTTGCTAAAACTAGTTAGTAAAGGAGGGAAGAAAGAAGGAAAGGAAGAGAAAAAAGCTAATTGTTACTTATTAAGGAAAAAAGACACTGCTTTAAAAGAGAGAAAGATGAGTGGTTAGCATAGCATATTATACAAACTTGTCCAATCACCATGTTGTATACCTGAAACTAATGTAACACTGTGTGTCAATGACACTTCAAAAAAAAAAAAATTTTAGTTAAAAAAAAAAGAAACAGGAGTATTATATGAAGGTATAAGTATAAAGGTTTACCACTAGTGGGAAAAATAACACTTCTTAAAATCAAACTATTATTTAAAAAGCGCACAAACAGACCACTTGAAGTTTCAAGAACACATATAATCAGAAAATATAAAATGATGTGACACAACTAAGACCAAGCATGTATGCCCTTCCTATCTATCCAGCTTAACTCATCCATTAACAGAAAAGAAGCTTTAGACTGACCCACATAGCAAAACCATTATATGTCGTCTCCAAGATAGATTTGTGATTCACAAAGTATTAAAAAAGGTAAAGGAAAGGAAAAGTTAAGATAGGATAAGGTTCACAAATACATGGATTGTAATCCTTTCATTAGATTATGCAGACTTTTAGCTCAAAGTATAAAAAGAAAGTCACTTTATCATTGTAAAGGGTATAATTCACAATGAAGAAAACAGGTATATATAAGCCCTTAATAATATAGCAGCAACATTAAGAAAGTAGAAATCACAGGAGATATTAGGAGAAACACAATAATAACAGAATTTAAAAATTTTTCTCCCAGGCTGAGAGAACAAGTAAACAAAAATAACTCAAAAATGATCTAAAACAACATAACCAAAATGGTAAGCACTGATGGATATTCATTTAACTCTACCCTAATAACTAAATGTATTTTCAAATAGCTATCGAACTTTCACAAAAATTGACTATGTATTAGACTACAGAATATACCTCAACAAATCCTTCCTGAGAGAGAGAGAGAGAGAGAGAGAGAGAGAGAGAGAGAGAGGGCACGCGAGCGAGCTCATGCACCTGTGAGCAGGGGGAGGAGCAAAGGGGGAGAGAGGGGAAGGGCAGAGGGAAAGATTCTCAAGCTGACTCTGCACTGAGTATGGAGCCTGATGCAGGGCTCAATCTCATGACCCTGAGATCATGACATGAGCTGAAACCAAGAGTTGGGACACTTAACCCAATGAGCCACCCAGGCACCCCTAGACTACAAAATATATACCTCAACAAATTCTAAAAGGAGAAATACAAGCCATATATTCTCTGATTAACAACCCACAAAACTAGAAATTTATAACAAAATTAGAAAATAAAAAGATCTTCAATCTGAAAATTTAAAAAGTCTCTCAGAATCATCATTTGGAGAAGAGGGAAAATACAAATAAAATTTGTGGTGTTTCTAGACAATAATAAAACTTCTACACATTAGAGGCTTTGGGATGTAGCTAAAATAGTGATCAGAAAAAAATTCACTGTTTTAAATAATTTCATCATTAAAAAAATGAAAGTAAATGAGTTACTAATATAGATGAAAAAGTCAGAAAAACAACTAAAGTAACAAAGTAGAAAAAAGTAGAGGAAAACATTTATAAAGCTAAAAGCAGAAATTAAGAATTTAGAAAACACAGAGCTAAAAAAAAAAAAGTTTCAAAAGCTATTTTGCCAGGTGGCTTGGGGGAGAGGGTGTTGAAACCAGTTATTTCAACTATTGTCTCTCAAGAGTAAAACAGACAAAACACAAATACACAAAATAAGAAATGGGGGGAAACCAGAGAAGTAGACACAATTTCAAAAAAAAATAAGGAACTATGTAAAACTCTCTAAAAAATCAAATACAGATAAAATAATTTTCTAGTAAGATATAACCTACCAAAAATGAACCCCAAACTGAGCCTAAACAAATTGATTTTCACAAAATAAATGGAAGTTTTCAAAGAGCTACTACCAATCAAGCAAAACAAAACACACCATTCCACAAGATTTTATAGAATTCTACCAAATCTTAAAAGAGCTAACAATTTAAAAACTTGTACATCTTAGAAAATGAAAATTTCTAAATTTTTTATGAGATAAAAGATTAATTCAAAACTTGAAAAAGATTACACAAAAAAAGATTACAGATCAGATCAAACTTCCTTTTGCATTTTGATTAAAAAAGTAAAATATTAGCAAACAGAATACAGTATCACATTAAAAGAATCCAGAAACACAAGTTTGGTTCAATGCTTGTTAAAAAGACAAGAAATATCATATCATTAGCTCCACTGATCCTGAAAAGAAATCTGACAATAATAAAATAGGAATCAATAGATACTCTTACACATATACATACATATATGTATATATCATGCTTAATGTAGAAACATTGGAAGCATTCCTTTCTGTGGTAAGGAATAAAAAGAGGATGTCCACTAATCACTACTGCTTAACACTGTCTAATTAGTCAATATAATCTGGTAAGAAAAAAATCAGAAGTATAAAAATCCAAAGGAAGAGGTAAACCTATCACTATCTGTAGATGAAATGATTATAACCTAGAAATGCCAAGAAAATCACTTGAATAACTACTATAAACAAAAATGGAATTCAATAAGGCAGAGAGAAAAAGGTATACAGAAGTCAAAGGCCTTCATGTATGTAAACAATAACCAGTTAGAATCTATAAATCCATTTCATAGCAAAAAAAAGGGGGGAAATATGTGCAAGATATGTGCAACTTTTACGTGAGGAAAACTTTAACAACACTCCTGAAGGAAACAAAAGTAATCTTGCACCAATAGAAAGGTACAGTGTTTTCTTGGACAGACTCAGTATCTTAAGAGATGCCAATTTGTCCTAACAATTTATAAATGTAATGAGATTTCTATAAAAATAACAGCCCATCCTCCCAAACCCACTGGTGTTTCTACAGCTTACGTGGTAAAATAAATAAGAATAGGCTAGAAAAGCCTGAAGAGAAATTTGAGACTAGCTCTATAAAATACTGCGTCATAAAAGAAACGATTGGCTACTACATTAAAGTGTTTGTGTATATGTATTTACCATTGCCCCACCCCCAAAGACACAAATTTCTACATGGCAAAATACAAAAACAAGACTGCATCAAAGGTTAAAAGACAAATAATCAGGGATAAATGCAATTCCTAACACAAGGGGCTAATCTCCTTAATTTAGAAAGCGCTCAGTAAATGAGAAAACTGAAAATCAAACAGTAAAAAAGGGCAAAAGACATAAACAAACAGCTAATAAAGAAATAAGGTGACCCTTACACATGTGAAAATATGGCTAAATGCAAAATAAAAGTACATGAGGAAATGATTTCTTGCAAATCCAATTAATAGAATCCAGAGCTTGACATTTCTAGTGGCAATAAAACAGGTAGTCTCATTCACTGATGCACAATATTTAGAACCTCTACAGAGGGCAATCTGCCAATAATGATCAAAATTACAAATACATTTGCCCTTGACCCATTAATCTTCCCTCCTGAAATCTATCCTAAAGATACATCTACATATATAGGAAACGATGTTCTGAAATGGGAAACAAAACAGCCCTCGTGTACATCAAAAGAGGACTTCTGAGATATAGCTCCTCGGTGACATTTCCACAATGGTAGAAGCAACTGAAAACAATGCAGAAACTATGTAGTGATCTGGAAGATCTAGGGATCCTTGAAGGAATGGCTGATTCCAGGTATAGGGTAGGAAATATAAGACGAGCCTGAAATATCCTCCTGTGTCAGAAAGCAAAAAAGCTATCAAAGACTAATAAATACAGAATTAGAAAAAATACCACTTGGTAATCGCTAGTGAAACAAATGATTTGGGTAACAACGATTACTGAATGGATTATTAGTAATTGAAAGGTTATCTGGGAGATTTACAATGGAGAGATCAGGCCTACTGATCTCTGAACCTACAGATCAATCTCAGTATCACTAAAATTGGAACCACTAGATACTGTGTGCCTCCTAATATGATACAATATGAAGTATGTATGAAGTATTCTGAACCAGAATTGAATCAAACTTCTAGGGCCAACTTTCATTTTCAGGAAATACAGGGGACAGAGGAATAAGGTAATGACACCACAAGAACAAAAGACAAATGTGGATTTTTGAATATTCTTCAAGACAAGTGGCAGAGTTTCTCTAACCAGTCAATGGCATTAAAGACAAAACAAAACAAGAAGAAGGAAATGGGACTACTGTTTAAAAGGCATTATCAGCCAAACATGATACGTGGATCTTATATAAAATTTTCTTACATACGATAATGGCATTATGACTATGTAAGAAAACACCCATTTTTTTTTAGAGGTACATACTATAGTAGTAGAAACAAAATAACTTGCTATCTGGGATTTGACTTAGAGGAGTAAATGTAGAAAGTTTAAGGAAAGGTGGAAAATTCTTGACAGTTTGCACACAGGTGGCAGTTTATCATACTATTCTCCCTACTTTTATATATGCTCAAAAATATTTGAGCCAAAAATGAGAATGCAATTAACACCACTATAAGCATCAGTAGTAGCTATAATACCTGGGGTCACCATGATCAACAGATTACTTTTCCTTTAAAAGATGTATTTCATAATGAAATACTGACTTAAAAGTTAAAAGGACAAAAGTGAGATTGTTCAGATAATCATGTCAAGGCTTTTATATATGCTTTAATGTGCTTACTTCACGCTCAGTAGCATTCCAGGACAACTTCTGTGTAAAGGCTTTCTACACAAAATGTAATAAAAACACAAAGGTTTTTCAACTCTGTCTTAATATGTGTCCAAATATTACTTCTAAGACACCAGTACATATAATTATATATAAACTGCACACATACACACACACACATGCACAGACACATGCGTGCAATACAGGAATCGACTACCCAATACAGAATATTGTTTTAGTTCCCTTACCATCAATATTAAGCATCATTTTCCACATGGCAGGTCGAACAGATTGATGGAATCCAAACCATACTTCCCTGCCCCCTCCCAGGGGGTGGTCATAGCCTTCTGGAGCTGAGAAAAAGGAACGCCCCACAGGCGTATATCTACAAAAATTAAAATGTCATGTTCAGTCCTTTCCTTCCCATATAGGTATTTAAATTTGCAGAAAAGGTGAGTCTAGAGCACATAAACTTAATTTATTCTAATGATGCTTATCATTAGGAATATATGAAACTAAATATTTTCCAAATTTGTGAAAGCAGAAAGCAGCCATTCTAAATGAAAACCAAAACCAAAACAAAAACCATCAGCATCCTTTACTGAAATTCTATCATCCTTAAACTAATGTTAGTTTGGTTAAGAATAAATTTTATTTAAATTACTTTCTTAGAAACAGATGAAAAGAAACACCAGTTCCAACCTTAGGAAATGCTAAAGAGTAAATAAATATTGATTGAAAGGTTATTTCTATAAATGTGTTTCCAAAATATATTTTTCTTTAAAAAGACACACTGATCCTATACAAGCACACAAATACAAACATACACTTGTGAGGTGATAGTGTGATTAAGAGAGTAGCAATTTCAACACAAATTGGTATTATTGTATAAACAACGAAATTACCTTTAGAACAAGGGGACTTAACTAAATATGTCAGTTATCCAAGATTTACAGCTTCTAAGATAAAGGTTAGATATTTTTCTAAAAGGTATCCACACTAGAACAGCTACCTTAATGATCTGCATTCACTTTCAAAAATCAGAATTTTTTTCTGTAACTTACTTCTTCTGTCAATCAACTTTTATGCATGCTATTCTTTAAATGAAGTAATCAAAACATACAACATGTGAAGGTTAATCAAAGGAGGCTTGCACAACCCACTCTTGGGAAGCCTTCACATTGAAAATCTAAAAAGGAGAGAAAGCCAGAAGCACCCACTTCATGGAGGGCAGATGTCGTAGCACCACATCAACGGCATGGACAGGATTAGTGCTGATTGGCTTGTCTAATTCCAGTGGCTCAGGCAAGGTCCGTCCTGTCAGTACTTCGTGTAGTAGGTGCCAACTCACCCGAGAGACAAATTTAATCGACACCTTGAAAGGTCGATCTTTTCCACCTTCCCCAGGTAAAGTAACATCTAAATCTACCTGTTGATGGGGAAATAATCAATTGATAAGTTGAAAAAGATAAGAACAATTATTTTTAAAAGATATTTAAGAAAAAACAGAGGAAATATAAAAAACCAACCTCAATGCTAAATCAATAATCTCCGTTACACTGTTAAGCAAAAAAAAGCAAAGTACACAAGATTACAAATAGTATGCCATCTTTTGTGTGAAAAAGGAGAAAATGGGAAAATATACATATATTTTATTTCTGCAAAAAGAAACACAAGAAGCATGAACCAGAAACAAACTGGTTACTTCCAAAGGATGGGAAGAAACAGACTGGAAAAAATAAAGGAGGAATAACAATACTGAGTATATTTTTCAGTATAGTTTTGATTTCTGGAACCATATTAAATAAAGCTTTTTTTTTAAAATAAAGTTTTATCAGTTAAAAAATTAAAAATAAAATCAAAAGGATGAAGTGAAAAAATTAAAATATAAACAAAATCAAATGAAACCAAATGTGTTTCAAATGAATAACCTAACCACACTGAAAGAAGGGGAAAAAAGAAAACATTAATGCAAGGAACTCTTGAACACAGTATACTGAATATATTCTCAGTTGGGGGTGTGGAGGAGAGGCGGGTGGTATGGTGTAGCAATTCTGAAAGGATTTTATAAATGTTTTATAAATTGAACAAATGAGAAAAGGCGGTGATGTTTTGAGGTTCAAAAAAGGAAGATACAAATATGCAATGTGGGGAGCAGAGGAAGAATCCTGGGGGGATAAACTGAAACTTAAAGGATCAGTTTGAACTCATGATTTCCTATATATATACTATATATATATATATATATATATATATATATATATATATAGTATATTACACAATAAGTAGTACTTGTGTAGGATACTTATTATGGTAGGTTCACTATATGACACATAATACTTATTATATATTGTCTCTTTTATTTGCTTATTTATATATTTTTATTTCCAATCTCTGTCCATTTTAGAAACACCTATACCCCAGCAGCATGAATACATACCCAGATTTTGGTTTCTAAGTTGCATCCCCCAACTAAAAGACACCATTGTTCCTTTGAGAAAGGGCCAGTTGCATGGCTGCAGCAGGGAAAACATAAGAGGAGCCTGGATCATCTTGTGCCAGAAAGTAAGGAAGTACTCAAAAAAAGTGTGTAGTGTAAAAAGGAAACAGGAACCAGCTTAAAGGGGCTCCCAATGGCCAAATCGGGGACAACTGGGGCAGTGAAATTAATAAGGATAAATAAATTAGGGAAAAGAAAATGCTCTCCATTACAGTCAATCCAACTAATAAATGTAGAAGGAATGACAGAATTAGAAAATCACCATTACTACATAGTAATAATCCTTCCAAGCAAGAATCATCAATTACTTAAAAATCTAGTGAGAAACAGGATCCTTAAAGTATCTCCTATATCCGGGAGCCTGGGTGGCTCAGTTGGTTAAGTGACCAACTCTTCTTGATCTTGGCTTGGGTCATGATCTCAGGGTGGTGAGACTGAGCCTGCATAGATAGGGTGCCCTGCAGCAGGGAGTCTGCTTGAGATTCTCTCTCTCCCTCTGCCCCCCACCCCCTGGCTCGCACTCTCTCTCTAAAATAAACAAATTTTTAAAATCTTAAAAAAAAAAGTATTTCCCCCTTCAAAATTAAAAACTTTTTAGGGGTGCCTAGATGGCTCAGTAGGTTAAGCATCCGGTTCTTAAGCTCAGCTCAGGTCTTGATCTCTGTCAAGGTCGTCAGTTCAAGCCCCATGTTGGGCCCCACCCTGGGTGTGGAGCCTACTCAGAAAACAACAACAAAAAACAAAACCAAAAACACTTCTGTGCATCAGAGGACATGATCAACAAAGTGAAAGGGCAACCTACAAAATGTGAGAAAATATTTGCAAATCATGTATCTGATAAGAATATATAAAGAATCCCTAAAACTCAACAACAACTAATCCCAATTAAAAAAATGGGCAAAGGATGAAGATACACAAATGAGCTCATGAAAAGATGCTCAACTCACTAATCATTAGGGAAATGCAAATCAAAACCACAGTGAGATATAATCTCACACCCATTAGGATGGTTACAATCAAAAAACCCCCAGAAAACAACAAGTTTTGGCAAGGGTGTAGAGAATTTGGAACCTCTGTGCATTGCTGATGTGCAAGTAAAATGGTACAGCCACTGTGGAAAACAGTATGGTGATTTCTCAAAATGTTAAAAATAGAATTACTACTTATACACAAAAGAACTGAAAGCAAGAACTGAAAGAGATATTTGTACACCTATCTTCACAGCAGCATTATTTGTAATAGCCAAAAGGCGTTCATCAACAGATGTATGGATAAACAGAATGTGGTATACACATACAATAGAATATTATTCAGCCTTAAAAAGGAAGGAAATTCTGACAGATGCAACAACACGGATGAATTCTGAGGACATAAGGCTAAGTGAAATAAGTCACAAAAACACAAATATTGTATGATTCCACTTAGATGAGGCACTGAGAGTAGTCAAAGTCAGAGAGACAAAAGGCAGAATGGTGGCTGCCAGGGGCTGAGAGGAGGGGAAAATGGAGACTTAGTGTTTCATGAATACAGTTTCAGTTTTATAAGATAAAAAGAGTTAAGGAGATAGACAGTGGTGATGGTTGTGCATGTACTTCATGCCACTAAAATGTACATTAAAAATGGCTCAGATGGTAAATCTTATGTGTATTTTACCACAATTAAAAATAAAATCTCCTCACAAGCGTAAAGAGAAAAAAGAAAAACCTGACAGGAAAAACCTGGCAGATACTAGCTGGTATTTCACCAAGTGATCAAACTTAGTATCACCATTAATGGAACAAATACCTATTAACGTCTCCTGATATGATCCACTGATAAGGAAAGAACACTTGTGTAATTATTTCTGCCAAAAATGCTTAATCAGAATCTAATCAAGAGAAAACCAGACAAACCCAGACTGAGGGACATTCTACAGAACAACTTGTCTGTAATCTTCTACCACGTTAATGTCATGAAAGGAAAAGAAAAAGCCTGGGAAACTGTTCCAGAATAAGAAGACTAAAAAGATGTGGTAACTTGGGGCACCTGGGTGGCTCAGTAGATTAAGCATCTGACTGTTGATTTCAGCTCAGGTCATGATCTCAGGTTTGTGGGATTGAGCCCTGCATTGGGCTCCGTTCTCAATGGGGATCTGTTTGAGAATCTCTCCCTCTCCCTCTACCTCTGCCCCTCCCCACCCTGCTCATGTGCTCGCTCTCTCTTTCAAATAAATAAATAAATAAATCTTTTTTTTTTTTTAAGATTTTATTTATTTATTTGACAGAGAGAGACACAGTGAGAGAGGGAACACAAGCAGGGAGAGTGGGAGAGGGAGGAGCAGGCTTCCCGCCGAGCAGGAAGCCCGATGCGGGGCTCGATCCCAGGACTGCGGGATCACGACCTGAGCCGAAGGCAGACGCTTAACTGACTGAGCCACCCAGGCACCCCTAAATAAATAAATCTTAAAAAAAAAAAAAAAGACATGTTATCTAAATACAATCATGAACCTGGACTGAATTTTGTACTAGAGGGGGAAAAATGCTAAAAGTCATCAGTGGAACAAATGACAAAATTGGAATACGGTTGTTGATTAGATAAAAGTATATCGATGAAAAATTTAGTAGAGTGGATAACCGTACTACGATTTTTATCCTTGATCTTAGGAAATAGATATTAAAGGGCATGACACATGCAACCTTCTCTTGAATGGTTCAGGAAAAATTAAGTATGTATGTGTATCTCGCTCTATATAAATATCTATAAACACAACAAAAGAAAGAAAGAATGATAAGACAAATGTGGTAAAAGTTAAGGAACAGTAGTGAATCTGGGTAAAAGGTCTACATGAGTTCTTTAATTCTTACAACTTTTCAGTATGTTTAAAATTATTTCAAGGGATGCCTGGGTGGCTCGGTGGGTTAAGCATCTGCCTTTGGCTCAGGTCATGATCCCAGGGTCCTGGGATTGAGCCTCACGTTGGGCTCCCTGCTGAGCAGGGAGTCTGCTTATCCCTCTTTCTCTCCCTCTGCCCCTCCCTCTCCCCTGCTCTCTCTTCTCAGATAAATAAAATCTTAAAAAAAAACTGGAAAAAAATAAAATTTCAAAATAAAAAGATAAATAATACACTCTTATGTATATATGGACTATAATAAAATGGTATTGTGGGGTGCCTGGGTGGCTCAGTTGGTTGAGTGTGCGACTCTTGGTTTAAGCTTGAGTCAGGATCTCAAGGTCGTGGGATCGAGCCCTGTGTCAGGCTCTATGATAGGTGTGGAGCCTGCTTGAGATCCCCTCACCCCAACTCAATCTCTCTCTCAAAAAAATAAAAATGTAAATAAACAAAAATAAAAAATAAAGGGAGATATTGCAAAAGAATAGCTTTTCAGTAAAGGAATGCATCTTACCCCAGTAGTTGCCACAGGAAGTGGATTGGCTGTGTAAAGGCTTCTTTTTCCATCATAAACTGGTCTACGGTCCCCAAATATAGTCACTTTAAAATGCTGAACCATTGAGTCAACCACCTCCCTAAAAAAGGGAAAAAATACATTCACATAATCCTCTGCATGATGAAATACAAAATACAAAATAAAGTAATTCTTGCACTATTTAAAGCTGCCAAAATTCTAAAAGACAATCATACTGATAAAGATATTGCTTTCAGGACCATACCTTAGGATACCAGAAAGACTAATTTCTGGCAAGGGATATGAATTTCACAAAAGGCATAAAAGAATGAATCCAGTGAATTACTTAATCATTCTGGGCCTCAGTAAACCTGCAAAATACTATCCTTAGAAAATGATCCTAAATCCCTCTTACCATCTCTGAGCACTACCTGACACATGCACTTCTCTATCAAAGAGTTTGATGCTCTTCACTCCATGCTCAAATACCACCTAGTACATATATCTATTAGAACATTTACTCCACTGTATTATAATTATTGTATACTTCACTTCTACTAGACTGTGAGATTGTTGAGAGCAATAAACACACTTGTACACCCCCAATCCTTCTCAACCCTTTCCCCATCCTTAAAATATTATCTAGCCAGTAAGAATATTCCGAAACCTGTTTTCCCCCAGCAAACATTTTTGTCCAATATATACTTACGTGGAAAGATAGTCAAGACTTTTACATTAAAAAAATTAGACTATAGTGAGAATACAAAATATCCACAAATCAACATTTATTTTTATACACATATTACTTGTAAAAGCAGTGGAAAGGTATCTAGAAGGATATGTACCAAACAGATACAGTGGTTACCTCTGGTGAGAGGAATGAAGAACAATTTTTTATTTTGTCTAAATAATCTAAATATATTATGATGAGAGTATACTTACATATTACTGGTATAATTTACAAAACATTTAAAAGAATGGGAAAAAAAATTCAATTCTAGCCTATGGGTAGGTAGGAGAGAAAGGAGAGAAAAAGGCATTCTCTGATACAAAATAATTGAACTGACTTGATATTTAAGAGCAATTTTCTACATGCTCAAAATTTCTATCTTTCCTCTTCTTCAATTTCACTTTGCTGAAAATATTTAAATCAAGATCAAGCCTCTTTTAGAGTAAATTTTACAAAAAAGATTTGACTCACATCCATTTTTACATACAAAACAAATTTTCAAAATTTTCTGCCATTTACAATTTTCTTCTGCAGCCATTATCATCAAGTCCAGTTTCTTAGGTGAAACTTTACAGATCTAGTTTGTCAGAATGTTTTGACTATTTTGTCATTTTTACTCAACAGTAAATTGGTATAACTTTAAGCTTCCCAAATCCTGGCAACCCAATCAAACCACTCTGAAGATCAAAATGGTTGCAGGAGATTAAAATAGCTGTGCTAAAACAACTTAGGGATAAAAAATGTTCTGTTTCGATATCTAGCACATTATATTCTTCATGAATGTTCTAACAGTGGACAATCTACCTCAATAAACTGCTAGAACCTCCAATGGAATCTAAAGCTGAATTCAACATATCTCCCCCATGTTTTCTGGTTATCCTATTTGTTCCTCCTCTTTATTGGGGCCTCCCTCTCCCCTTTTACCCAGATTCAAAACCTGGCTCACCTCTTCATCCAATTAGTTACTGACCTCACCTCTGCAGTATTTCTCACATTAGTCCTTTACTTTTCATTCCCAATTACCACCATGCTAAATCATAACCTCATGCTCCAGTACCTGGATTATTTTAAGTCTCTTGTTTTTTATGCCTTTAATCTTTTCTTCTCCAACCCAACTTACATATCACTGCCAAATGAGTCCCCAAACCCCACTTTTATGTCCCAGACAAAAAAAGTTAATCATACTCCTTGATTCATGGCTTATTTTAACCATTCATCTGTATGAGACCTCTCTTCTTTCCTTCCACCTCCATTTCCTAAGCTCTCTTCTTCTTCCCAATAAGTTATTTCTTCTAATGTGTTTGATGAACATTCTTCTGTTTGCTTATATTCCCACCTTTATCTAGGTTTTTAAAATGTATTCATATTTCTGTGGGACACGGGGTTCATTGTTTCTGACTGATGCAAAGTACTCCATATGTTGTCTATCCATTCACCCAACAATGCAGACTTTAACTGCCAGCCACCAAAAACAATGGGGTAATGCAGCATCTCTTACTATATCCCTTTATGGACTTGTGTGAGAATTAATCTCTGGTTATATGCCCAGGAACAAAACCGTTAGGTCCAAGCGAATTTTATCAACCAAATGATGAAGAACTGCCAACTGCTCTCCAGAGTGGCTATACAATCTACGTTCCTGGAGGTTCCTATTTCCCCATATCCCAGACAAGATTTGGTATTATCCAGCTCTACTTTGCATTTTTTGCTAGCCTAGCAGGTAAAACTAAAATTTTATTTTAATTGGGATTTCTATTACTAATGAATTTGAGCATTCCTTCATGTGCCTGTTTCTTTTGTTAATTCCCTCGTTTCCTTTGCTCATTTTTCTATTGGGGCCCCAGCCTTCTTGTTGAATTGAAGGAGTTTCTCTGATAGCCTGATAGTCCAGATATTAATTTATTAACAGGTTTAGTTACTGCAAATATCTTCCAAATGTTATCTGCCTGTTAACAATATCTATGTATTTATCGAACTGAAATCCTTAATATTGTATCTTCAAATGAATCATTTTTCACCTTATGGTTTCATGCCTTTTTTTTTTTTAAGATTTTATTTATTTATTTGAAAGAGAGACACAGCGAGAGAGGGAACACAAGCAGGGAGAGTAGGAGAGGGAGAAGTAGGCTTCCTGCTGAGCAGGGAGCCCGATGCAGGGCTCGATCCCAGGACCCTGGGATCATGACCTGAGCCAAGGGCAGATGCTTAACGACTGAGCCACCCAGGTGCCCCATGGTTTCATACTTTTGAGCCCTGCATCAGGCTCTCTGCTCAGTGGGAAGTCTGTTTGTCCCTCTCCCTCCGCCCCTCCCCCTCCGCCCATGCTCTGTCTCTCACTTTCTCTCAAATAAATAAAATCTTAAAAAAAAGAGAATTACTTTCCTAATACTAAATCACAGTGTTTTATCAACTATAGTTTTGTCTATATATAGTTATTTATATAGTTTTATATCTATCTATAGTTATCTATCTATATATAGTTTTATCTATATTATTTTGGCAATTAATCCATCTGAGGTCTTTCTTTATAAACAGTGTTATATAAAGACTATTTTATTTTTCTCCATATAGTAAACCAGTGGTCCCACACCACTTACTAAATAGTCTATACATAACCAGTCAATTTAAAATGCCATTTTTTGGGATGCCTGGGTGGCTCAGTTGGTTAAGTGTCCGACTCATGATCTCGGCTCAGGTCTCAATCTCACGGTCATGACTTTGAGCGCAGTGTTAAAATAAAATAAATCAAATGCCATTTTTATCTTATAAGTTCTCAACATATAAATGAATCTGGCTCCTGAGTCTCTATATTGTCCCAATGGCCTGTCTGTTCTTAAACAAGTATCGTATGTTTTCACAATTACTGAAGTGTTCTATAATACTATAACATGGGGCAGGGCAAGTTCCTTTTCTTTTTCTAAGTTAACTAGGACATTCACGGAAACTTTTAATCAGAATAAACTTCTAAAGTGGTCCCCCCAAACTATCAATACCATGCAACAAAAGAAATATATCTAGTGCTCTACATATAGTAAATAAGAATAAAATACCTGTTAGTTAAGAAGCCTTCAAATTATACGTACTTGGGAGACACTGTTAGTATGCTAAAAACAAACGAGCGTGTTAAATGTTACTAAACACTACAATAATGAACTCAATGAAGATGAAATTTAATGGGGCAATTGTAAAATCTAAACATTTCTGTTTAAAAAGCTCAACTGCAAAAAGAACAGATTAGAGGATGTGAACTTACTCACTGCTTTTGTGGAAAGGGGCTTTAGGTGACTCAAGTCCAGAATGAGCTAATAGTGGGATGTAGCTTCCTCAAAATTAAAAAAATTAGGTTGCATATATTTAAGTGCCCAGTATAAAGCATGTAACCATCCCATCATATTATATAGTCATTTCACATTCTGAAGTACTCTGTTCAATTTGGAAAAATTTAAGACCCTAAAAAAATGAAACATAACCAGATAGAAAATTTTTTTTCTAATTTTTTTTTCCGATAGAAATTCATGTAACATGAGTAAAAATAAACCAAACTAAGGACTTCAAGTCTGGAATAGGAAAGACTCAAAGAAAACTATAGAAGTCTCCGGGTATTTTGATGGACTATCATATATTTTTTTTTTTTTAATTTTATTTATTTGACAGAGAGAGACACAGCGAGAGAGGGAACACAAGCAGGGGGAGTGGGAGAGGGAGAAGCAGGCTACCCGCCGAGCAGGGAGCCCAATGCGGGGCTCGATCCCAGGACCCTGGGACCATGACCTGAGCCAAAGGCAGGCGCTTAACAACTGAGCACCCAGGCACCCCTCATATTGTTGAACTAAGCAGAAAATCTACCTTGTATGAAAGGATAGAATTAGGACAGAACTCACAAATAATTGGAAAGATACAAGGAGCTAGACTTGGAGCAAAAATTTCCCACCAGAATTATTCACAAGTGGATTACACTATCTTATAAAGTACCTAAGTTCATCCTTGCTAGAACAGCTCAAGGAGCAGTTATGTCATGGAAGACACCAACTAGAAGATGCCAACCAGAAGGCTGAAATGAATAATCTCTGCAATCCCCTCTAACAGTAAAATTTAAATAGGAGAATACTAAATAATGAAACACTGCAGATTTTATCATGGCATCAGATATAAAAACTTCTTTATGAATAATTACACTAAACACTGAACTCAAACTCTCAGAGCCTTAATAGAATGGTGTTAGAATTCTATATACACTGGGCAATTCTAACATTATATTACTTTTAAATGCATAACTGCTAAAACCTATGTTTCAAAGGGAAACATAGGCTAGAATCAGCTTTTCTAAGAACCACCATTTATTATCATGTCTCTTTAATTTCTCACTAAGATCATGTAACTGATATATTTAA